TCCACGATTCCCCTTGAATCCTGAGTATGAATCTTTTCATTCTGAAAATTCATAACCCCATCGAAATGGGTCCACTCAACAATTTTAAAACTCTTCAAAATGTGCTCTCCTAGCTGAGCATTACTGCCAGTATAACAGTTTATGCGCTGGTTCCCAACGTTTATACTTCATTGTAACTATTTTAATTTTTTAATTTGATCAGCTACTGAATTTAAAATCACCGCAGACATGACCTTGTCTGCAATCACACATTGCATTATCAATTTCTCTTTCCTCCATCCAAATCCAATAGTGTAGGCGTAGTGTAAGAAATGAAAGTCCGCCGTGGATAATGATAGGTATTACCAGAAAATTGAATGAGGGCTGAATACATTACCCCAACCAGTAATAAAGGTTCCAGAGACCGAACACTTAGCCGAACCTGTTCAAATTTTAAAATTATCTGAATCCGATTGAACTCGGTTATCCGTCAGATCTAACGGCACGCCGGTTCCTATTGAACGGATGAATTATGGCTCCAAATCAATGCTTATTTTCGACAAGACAAAAGAGCTGGTCGTCTAAAACGGAACGGTAATAAAAAGAGATTGATAAATAATACGTAGCGGGTAGAAGAAGGAAGACGCGAGTATGCAGATGGCACAATAATTCTAACTATTCCACCGTTTTCGTGGTCTGTTCTAATGACCGCGATGCTATCTCCAAGGGACTATTCGAGTGGCGATTACCATAATCTACAAATTACAGTTTGGTAGCCGCGCCCTAGAGCGCGCCATCTTCTGGTTATTGGCCATTGTCTTAGCCCTCCTCCGGCCGTGGGATATTTATTGCTCAGTGCCCTGTCGTGGCTCCAATGTACTCTCCCTTCCATTAAACGATAAATCAGCTCTCGTGATTTCCGTGCAAATTGCAAATCATATACGGCACTCGCTGAGCCTTTAGTAAAAACTCACTTATATTGAATGAAGAATAAATACGATATAATAACTGTATAATCCGAAATCCAATTGTTTTGTTAAGGAAACAAAAATGTATTTCGTATATAAATATTTCACCTTAATCTTTATTTATTATTTCTCAAAGATGTATTTTTGTCTGCTCACCATAACTTAATTCTATGGCCCGATGGAAAAAAAAAAAAAACCATGTCCATTATTTTTACTAAATAATTTAGTACCTAAAAACAAACTTTAATAGCTCAAAGTTATGGAAAACTAAATCTCCTGAACAAACACAAAATGGATATGGCGTTCTTTAACTCCGGAATACAGAATTAATTCTTCATTAAATCCCATGATCTAGCTCTGATTTTGATAATTTTCTTCTCCTTCACGTGGGAAAAATAGTCATTCAATCGCATTACCTCGAAATATGAGAGAAAAAAAGTTATGAAGGAAAAGAAACCTAATTGAGAATAACTCGAAATTATACATATTATTACTGATTGCATTCATAATTATTTGAATGATTACGAAATTCCCTACATACCAAAAAATAAACAGAAGTACCGAAATCGGAACATTACTTTTCAAAGATAAAGATTTTTATAATTTCTAAACATGTTGGTTAATATGAATGACTTTTAAAATAAATATATTTTTCTTTATCGGTTAAAATTACCGAGAAATTCAGAATTGATTCCTCTATCTTCTGATTCGTTAAATTATTTTATCTCTTTATCATTTGTTAATTTCTTAATAACCAATTTTCTATGCAAGTAATTCACACGGAACAACTGTCCTATAATATTAGATAAAAGGACCATCTTTCGTTTGTAACGACTAACCGCAAAAACTTTTGGAACTTTTTACAAGTGATTTTTTTTGTAAAATGGTCCATGTTGTCTTGGATTGATTTCAGTCGCTGAAATCCTGGATCTAATGAAAAGTTAAAAATATTTTTAACGTGCTGGGAGTGTATTATAATTTTTAATCCTTACTTACCTTTGAAATTGCATCTAGATGTAGTTAAAAATACCACCGAAAACAACAACATATTGGTAATTGCTCAAATGCTGCCAACAGAAAATGAGATGAAAGAAAAAATAAAGTAGGAGAAGAAAGAGAGAAATAGACTTTTTTTTTTTGTTTTTTTTTTTCAAACCATTGTATAAAGGATAGTCCGTTTTTCTTTTAAAACCGATAATTTTGAATACTACGTTCCTAGTATGCGCCGAATTTTAACTACATCAACTTCATGACCTCCAAAACATAGACCCAGATAAAAATAGGCAATATATTCAATTGCTTTGTTAACATAACTTCAAATATATTCGTACGTTTTATATATATATATATATATATGTGTGTGTGTGTGTGTGTGTGTGTGTGTGTGTGTAGGGTTAAACTGTATCATTAGGTGATAGTAGGCCCATAGAAAGTTTGCAAGGGTAATGAAATGAAATGAAATGAAAAAGAAATGAAAATAATTTTATTATTCTGGAACTAGTGTCCCTTTAGAACACTACATATAAATACATATAAATCTAACATTCATAACTTTCCATATATATATATATATATATATATATATTGAAACCTATGAGTTATGAATTTTAGAAAGGATTTATTTTGATTTAAATTTCTTTTTTTGTTGTAGACTTGGAAAGTTTCACGAATTTTAATTGAATATTATGCCGTTCACGATTTTTAACAAATGCATTTTTTATTAATTTAACTTAATATTAAGTTCTTTATCTACTTCGTTGCATTTTATTACCCTTGGAAACTTTCTATAGGCCTACTATCATCTAATGATACAGTTTATAGTAGGTCGATAGAATGTTTTTTGATAAAAATCATTGCAAGTCTTTGAAAAACGTATAATTACGTAAGAACTAGATATTAAATGCGAAATAAATTAAAGATTTCATAAAATTAGCCTGACATGAAAGATAATTATGCCTAGACCAATATTAGTAGAAACTTATTTATTTCAGAAATTTCATTGAATTATGTAAATGAGTTATAGTAATCTGCATAATTTTCTAAAACAACTCAGAAGGTAGATAAGATCTGATAATGTCGACTAAGAATTCGTGATGTCCTGTAGCCCATTTCAAGTCATAGTTTTTTTTCTTCTTATTGTTTATGCAAATAATGAATGTTTATCGAATAAAAAAATGAGGGAATCATTCTATATACAATATGCTAATAAGTAACATAAAAATAACAGATGAGCATCAAAATTATTTCGTCATCGTATAATTACGAAATTTATTTGGAAATTTTTTTGTGAAAGTTACTCTTAAATAAGTTAATATTGAATTATTTTTCATTGCTGAAATTATATTATTTTAATGCAAGTACGGGTGAGAAGTAGTCAGGACGGAATCAGTTTTTAAGATTTTTATTTTTGACCCAAGCATGTGGGTCATCATCAGGTCATGTTACAACCACTGAAGGTCTTCAAGTACTGTTGAGTACTTTCCGTAATCACCATTAATGTATTGTTTCTAATATATAACTTCAATAACTTACGAGAGAACATATCACTCGCAGATCGGACCTCCAAAGAACTCCTTAACGTATTCCCTCATTCTAGGCTCATATTAATAGAACCCAATTATTCGTTATTTTAACAAAGCATTTCTTCTTTCATCAGCTATATTTCTACTTTTTGTAAGTATTCAGTATTGCATGTAGAATGAATATTCTATACCCATTTTCGATGTGTAGCTAGTCTTCACCTCATTCATGTATTATGTACTCATTCATGTATCATGTATTACCAGTACCGTTAATAAAAGATGTTCATTCATTAATTTGAGGAATAGTATCAATTATAAAATATGTTTAATAATTACTCAGGAATGTACGATATCCTACTCTATATTCGACATGCTTATAAAGATATATGATGGAAAACGAGATATTTTGATTTTTTTTTTTTTTACCAAAAAAGAATACGCTAGTTTCTTCTTCCTTCATTTATAAGTGCGAAAAAATCTTAATTCCAAGAATCGAAAACATAAAATTCTGAGTTGAATGTATCAGGCTTCCAGCTCAGGTGTATATAGCTGGCAGGTTATACTGGGTTCAGTAGTTCAGAATTGTATCCTTTCGGCCGTATTTCTTCACCAAGTAATATTAATAGGTACTCATAAGAAGCAGAATTTAAGGTTTTTTAATTCTTGGAATAAAAATGATTTTGCCAGGATGCATCATTTTGGAGTTATCAATCAATAACTGAAAAATTCTAAAAATGACTTGGTTTTTTTAATGCTGTACATTTTGTATAATAATCCTCCGGTTACCCGATATTTCTTATTGTAAGTTCATCTAATTTACGTTAAACTTAAAAGGAAAACTTAAAATATCAACAATTATTAAAAACAAATCCTTAACGAAAAAAACATCGGCTACGGAACTGTAGTATTAGTTTCAGGTTCATATTAAAGAATTGAGATCTTTTTAGAGAGAATAATTGTTATTTCAAAACATTTCATGTCAGTGTAAAATTTATCTGAAAATAAAGACATCTGTGGTTAAAACTAGTCCTGATCAACCTGATTTACTAATAACTTATTAGGAATTATTAATATTATTTAAAACGAAATAAAATTGTCAGGAACCCCATAACACAGGGCTAACGTATTAAATTAATTCTGACTGAAATTCCTGACAATTTTATTTCATTCTTATAAGTCATCAGTCAAATACTTTCCCATCTCTATTATTATTTAATATTTTACTAATTTTCTTCTTCTTCACTTCTGTAACAAATCGTAGCTTAAATCTTAATTGCATATGACCTTTTTTTATTTTATTAAAAAACATGCCTTTAGAAGGTAATTTCATATTTCATATTTTTCAACAACTTCATTAATATTTATATATAAATACGTTATTTTTACTTATCCTAGTCCTAATGCATATATGCATAATGAAGTCCTAAACACTTCAATTTGCAATTTAAGTATCATTTAAAAATTTATATTTAAAAAAAAAACCATTACTATGCAAGACTACCCAAACAGTTGAGATCAATTATTAACATTTATGTTACAGGTGAAAGTACGAGTCCGTGATAAGAACGACTCACCACCCTCTTGGGAAGGAAGCAAGCTGGAGTTCGCAGTGTCGGAAGACCTCGGAGTCGGCGAGAAGGTTGGTACCCTCTCCGCAGTGGACCCGGACACCATCGGAGAGACTCACTACTCCCTCATTTCGGGGGCGGAGGGTCGCTTCAGGCTGGAACCCCAAGGCGTCCTCCGCCTCGCAGAACCTGTCGACCGGGAGCTGCGGGACAGCTACAGCCTCAGGGTACGAGCATCTGACGGAGTACAGGCTTCTGAAGCTGTCATCACTGTCATCGTGAGTAACTTTTCACTGATAATCTATCTAAGGATGAAAGATGGTCAGTAATTGCAGTCAGTAATCAGATTTATTAAGTTTACCGACGTTTCGACGCAAACATATGTGTCATCATCAGGACAATGGCTTATAGGCAAACTTAGTAACCCTGATTACTCACTGCATTTTCACTCTTACGATCCCAACAGTCAACTATATATCCACCTCTAGGTACTTTATCTAATGCAACAAAAAACTAAGTGCAAATAGGTATATCTTTAATTAAGTATATCTTTAAGCACCGACTGCACACAGACAGGCTCGTGGCGGGAAATCAAGGACCTTAGGGTTAATTGTTCAAGGTCCACGACAATTATTGAATTTACCGCCATGACCCTGCCTAGTCATTTCTAATGTACTAATATGGAAGTTTTATGTTTAAACTTTTATTTATGTTCCCCTTAAAGCAATTCATTTGGCGCAAAAATAAACCCGAATATTATTTATTTTAAAATAAATTATTAGCTACTCAAACCAGGGCTATAGCTATATAGCTATCAGGGTATATAGGTATATAGCTATATAGCTATAGCCATGGTTTGAGTAGCTAATAATTTACTTTAAAATAAATAATATTCGAGTTTATTTTTGCGCCAAATGAATTGCTTTAAGGGGAACATAAATAAAAGTTTAAACATAAAACTTAGGTAGGGATAAGAAGCATATTCCCCGGGCGCCAAATTTCGAAAAATAATGTTTAGGTTAAGTAAACATATATTTTTTTCCCTCTCAATGCAGTCAATAAAATGAAGTTATATTATTTGATGATGACATATATTTCGAAATACATTATCTAAATATTGAAATAAAATATTGACGATAACAAATTACTGAATTTTATTGGAGAGCTGCGGCAGATCAGGAGGAGCAGCACAATTAAGCTTGAAGTACCTAAGAACTTATATTTTATAAACTATTATATTTTTTTTCAAAAGTTCCTTCAATACTGTCTAAAAAAAAAAATGTTTCAATGTTTTAGAAAGATTTCAAGAACTGAATTTTGATACTATAAGTTTTTCAAAATGCTCTTAAATGTTTAGAACAATAAGTAAATAATACAACATTATGTTTCGGTTTAAATTACTTTATCTTTGGTGGCTCTTGAACTTTTAATATCGAAATAAATATTGTTTATAAATGCCACTGTAGCAAGTTGACGAGTTTTTTTTTTTTTTAATTCGATCATTTTTAAAACCTTCATTTATGTGTTTGTTTTTTTTAAAGTCTGGGACAGAGCAGGATTAGAAATGACAATGAGAAATGAAGTAGTATTAACAGGCTTGATTGTAAATCCGCAATTAATACAAGAATGTATAGAAAATTTCTGTTAACAAAAACAAATTAAAGTTAACAAAACCGGTAGTTGGAACATTTAATGCCACGTTATAAAATAATCAAATCGGGAATTCAATAAATATATATCGATCTTTATTATTCGTTATATTTTAGAGCTGAATTAATTTGCATAATTAAAGGGTAAATCGTGTCCTTTACCAGTTTATTAAAACTTTGGAGGCATGTATTCAATAAAAATTTAATAAGCTAACTGTATAAAGTGATGTCAAGAACATTGAATATGGAACGTTAAGTATAAAATCTTCTCATTCTCATAAATAAATTTTGTAATAAAAACGTTTGTCCTATTGGTTATAAAGACAGGAGATAATTATGCTTCGTCGGCTGGTTGATATTTATATTTGTGTATTTAATTAATCGGTTATTGGCAGGTATTCTCAAGGTAAGGTAGCGCTTCTCAAAGGACCATGTCCACAGTCGGGTCTTTGCATTCCTTCAACCGTTGTCTTTTTACTGACAAAAAAAGATTAATGGTGATGCCGATAGACTTCAAAGGGCGGTTTCTTTTTAAAAAGTCCTATAGTGGAAGATAAAAGATTCTTTAAGGATATACAGGCCTCCTCAACCCGGCGGATAAATGGATGAATCGAAATAATGAACAATCATAAAATGAATAATAAGACTAGTAAAAATAATAAAAAAAACATTCTTAACACTTGAAATTAAAGTAGGAATTTTTTTTTTACCGTTAATGTTATGTTTAACTATACTTTTTTCTATTCAAAAAACCTTATTTACATACATTAATTAAAATCAGAAATGAATAATCGAAACTCTAACAATCATGTTAATAGTTATAAAAACAATAAAACAATTCTAAACACTTGAAATGAAAGTAAGATAATTTTGGTGCCATTGATGTCATTTAAAACCAAGGTGTTTATATATATTTCTTTATGCGGAAAAAAAATCTATTAAATTATACTTACATAAAATCTCTTAATTAAAAACAAGAACAATGAATCGAGACATTAAATAATTATAAAGTGAATAATTATAGTCATAAAAAAAAATTCTAATCATTTGAAATAAAGGAACCACAATTTGATTGCTATTAATGTCGAATGAGCACAAAATGTTCGGTTAATGTTCTACGCAAATACCTTATAAAATATATTTGCATAAGGTAAATCACCAGGAATAGACCCTGTAGTATTAATAGACAGTTTTCAATACATTAACAGTTGATATGCCTTATGCACCCAAAATAGAGTAAAATTATAAGAGTTGCAGCTAAACACTCGAGAGGATAATACATAAATAATATCATGCCATAATAACTGATTGATGTTTTTTTTTTAAATAAATCTAGTCTGGTATTTGTTTTAAACAGCTTTTCTTATCACCTTTTTTTATGAGACAAGAGTGAAATTTTTATTCATTCATCTGTTGTTAGCCATTCTTTAGCTTGAAACTTTGCAGATTTTTTAAAAATTATATAACAACCTATTTACCAACAAATTAAAGTGTCTATTACTGGTGCAGTATGCGCTGTCATAATTTCCAGAAGTTATTTATGAATAATTAACTAATTGACAGTATAGTAAAAGGCTAAATTTTATGTCACCGTCAGAACTAAAACGATGTTTTACATTAATGTTGAAAATCTTTCTTAAAATGTCTACAACCGGTACATTTGTCTTAAAATATATTAATTAAAAATAAATAGTTATACCAACTGCCTAGCGAACAAGGCACACTTTTAGTGATACTAGATCGAAAAATACCATGTGTTGGGTTCTTGCCAATACAGCATAGCAAAAATTTAAACAAATGTTTCTTATAATTTTAATAATCTTGTATGTTGTTATTTTTCTGTCTTTGCTCTACATAGTTCCGGACTCAATTTAATTAGTCTTTTTAGTTAAAAAATGGATGAGTCCAAATTATTTATCACATGTGGTGTAAGTTCACAGTCAAAAATCTTCCATATTTAATAATTATGATTATTAATATGCAATTATATTATAATTTATATAGTTATACAAAATACAGTTGGATATTAATAGGATAATTAGACGAGTTTTCAATTCGTAATCGTCGATAGAATTTAGATTGCAAAACCAGAAAATGTCCTAAATTTTTATAATTCATCTTTGCAATAATTAGTCAAAGAAAAGTGGTGGGGACATAGCTACGTCACTAGAATTGAAACTCAACTACGTCACGAACTGCCAGCGCCAAGCTCATTGGATACCCTTTACTTATTACCATATACTACTGTTTTCAGCTTCAAAACCTCCATCCAAGAATATGTTTCGTGTTTCTTTTTCACTCTGTCATGTTTAAGTAACAATATTATGTTCAAAATGTAATTTATAAATTTATAATTCTTTATAAATAGATAATATAAGCTAAGTTCTGAAAGAGTTTGAGTAGTATCGTACGCGTCACCTCATGCTGTTGACAATAGCTGCTACAACAGTTTTCACCATAGCTCCTAGATGGATTGATACTTAAAGTTTTTACTGAATAATGAACCTTATTTTCATTATTTATAAAAATATATCTCAATTTTATGTACGTCCTTTATCAATTGAATTATTAGTTACAATAACCATTAGAAAGCTGAATTTCTTCTGTTCTTACCATAATAATTTTTAAATTGTATGGTATTTCAAATAGACTAAGGAAACAATGATAATAAAAATATCCGATAAAGAGACTGTTGAATTCCATGTTGGATAATAACCACTACAGTAACGACCGACATTATTCCGCCATCGAGCGGCATACACCCCATTGTTCGCCCATCATTAAGACATTTAACGCACTATGCAAATGACAATCACGTAAGAAATGTTGAAGTCGTGTAGGGACAGTCACGCGGTTGTTAACACATAACACACATTGGGAAGTTAGCAAAGGCCATTTAATTAGTGCGGATATCGAAGAAACAGGAAGGGGAGGCTGAAAATGGATAAGTTGAGGCGCATCTCGGACAACGATGCATAGCTCTGAGACATCTGTTGTAACGAAAGATGGTGGCCATCCAATTAAGAATTGTGTTGCCTGAGAATCAAATGCCACCTCACTTTCACTGTTATAGCACAAAGAGTGTCGCGACATCCCATTAGGGTCATCTCTTCCAACATCTTTTCCTAATTAAAGGAGTCGAAGACATGTGTGAAATTATTGGTGAAAGCTGCTATACTAATTATCCAATCTTACTGTTCACAAGATTCTCCTACATTACTACAATCTACAATGTTTCAATTTGTAAATCTGACCAATGGATTCAACTGAAATTAATCATATTACTGTAAATACATAAATAAATAAGTTTGATATGCCTAAAGTTCTTCGGAAATAAATAAACGTGAATTAATTGATAATTACATGTATAAGTTGTCGAGGTAGATGAATAGGTTGAACATAGAAGAACTCTACAAAATGTATTCAATTCAGAAAATAATTCAATCGATGAGGAAGAGGCTGAAAAGGGAATACCTAGAATGTCAGGTGGATGACTAAAACACCCTCGGTCTGCAAGCTAAGGGATGAACCTTAAGACATTTCAGAATGGACAACATAAACGGAGGGATGAGTCTCCAGACATTATAAGAGAAAGAAATTCCAATGAAGTGAAGAGCCTCCTGACTAGGTAGATAGGACTAGAACCGGGTAGATTCGGATCCAAACCTTGTATGGAAGAGTGAGAAGGAGATTAAATTAAAGGACGTTAAAGGAACATGAAATAAAATAATAGTCAGATAGATAAGGCTACAAAAACATATATATAAAATATACTGATCAATTGACTATAGAGGTGGTGAACCTGGCTATTACTATGACTCCCTTAAAGGGAGAAAAGAAACAATTTCTCAGCTGACCACTTCAGAATAACTAATAATATATGCATCATGGCAACAAGAATCATTACAGTTACTGTTATTTTGAAGCTTTGATCAGTATATCTTATTATAAAATTGTAATGTTACAAGTTAATACTGGAGATTTTTACATTAAAAAAATATGAAATAAAAAAAAACTTTTAAGTATAATGCTTGAGCGGGCACATGTCTCGGTGCCAGATAGATGAACTAATTGTTCGCTACAAGGTTAATCCTAAATCCGTTATTCCGTAGAAATATAATAAAAAGAATATAACAATTATGAATAAAAAGAATAGCAAAGAAGTATTTAAATCTCCTTTTAATAAATTAATCTATCTCAAAAAAGAAGACAATTTATTCAGAATTTTGCAATTCTGAGTGTGATCAAAATAAAAGTTATTTATTATTTATAAAACAACTAAAACAAAAATTAGCGTTGTAGAAAGGGGCCAAGATGACATCTACCCCTCGAAGTATTTTACAAGTGGAGAATAAATTCTCTGAGACACGACTTCAAGGAAAAGTAAAAAAATCAAATTTTAGATTAAGAATCAACCTTTATTTTTATTTGTATTAATAATTTTATAATAATTTGAATCTTTTTTTTCATTTCTATAAAAGATTTGTTGCTACGAAACTATTTAAAAAAAAAACCGTACCACTACAACCCATTAACGGTGTTGGGTGAAGTACTATGTTTTGAATACATTTCGAAAAATGACAACAATAATTACAATAATAAATTTGAAGAATAAGTCATCTCCTCATGAATTAAATATTGCACTGATTCATGATATGTTTCTTAATTCAAATATATTTATGTTAAATTAGTAATCTTATGATTTTTAGCAAGGAATTTTTAATTAAATGGCTGCGTTATCTTATAAACTAACAATAAATTGAAATAACTATAATTTTACCCCTGAAACGTTACTTTATTAAATTAAAAATTCAAAAAGCAGTTAATCTAGTTTTGTACTGCATCATGAAATAAATACTGTATTTCATAACGAAAATACAGCATTTTTTGGGGGAGATGGAGGGACGGGATTGTGTATTTCTGTTTCTAGTCAACACCACACACTAACAGGCTCAAACAATTATTTTTTACTTGTGTAACAAAGATCACAGAGACTAATAGTATTTTTGTTAATTTATGGTATGAAAAAAACAAGAAGAGTAAATATTTTTTTATAACTCTGCGCTATGAAAATTTAAATGAATTAAAAAATATCTATTTTACACATAAAAGTTAAAAGTATTTATGAAAAAAAAAAACCAAGCAGCTGCACAGTAACCAGTCGGTTTACTATCCTTTCTTACTACGGTTTCGAAAGTGTCTTATTTTAGCCTAGATACAATCAAAGTCAATTAAGCTATATATAATACAACACATATACAAATGTCGAAAACCTTGTTTAAAATTCTAATACGATAGCTCTTAAAATGTAATTTATATAAAGAATTTATTAGACAACTGTTCTCACTAAACCCAAGGAGCCGTATAAAAGGATACTATAAAAGTAGGAATAGATGCAATAGGGAAAGGAAGTTTCACTTTTAGCGACTAAGAGGTGGATGTAAAGAAGCGCCGGAGATAAGATTGTACGCCGCTCACCTGACCCAGAGAGGAAAGGTTATGTGGCGGCCTGGCACCGATAAGGCCGTGCAACCAATTAGCACTGGAAGGGTCACGTGGTCTGTCTCGTGTGCCCGGGTATCTCACATCCAACTCCTTTTCCTACTAATTGGGTGAAAGGTAGCAAGCTGGCGTGTAAGGTTTTGAATATTGCGGATATCACGAGCACAAGAACTGGGCCAAAGTGTCATTGGGATCCGATGGACACCGATGGCATTTACGATAGTGCAAGCTGACTAATGGTGAGCTATTGTTCGCCCGCTAAAGTATATTCAGGAATACCTTCTTGGGAAACACCATTAGTTACAAATTTTATTTAAAATTTAACCAATTAGAAACAAAAATAAATAAACATTCCTTTATTTCACTACAATCAATAAAAGTTCTTGGATTTAGTTCTTATAAGAACGTAACGTTTTATAACCAATGGTTGTGAAAGGTGGTGTCGCAGGGTGTGTGGTTTGCACCTACCGTCAATATGCAACGAAGGGCTGACTGATGGCTCAAACTCAGAAATCTTCCGAACCAAGAGTACATCCACGACCAATAAAACTAATAAAACAAAATTTATTTTCTGCCTACACGCGGAGTAGAAACTTCAGTTATATATCAATCATATCATACTGTTTAAATACCAGCTTTAGGAGAAGTTTAAGTATTATACTCTGCACCTTTGAAATCGAATAGATAAATGTTACACTATCCCCTTTCACATCAGTTCATTTTATTTCATCAAAAGTTAAATCTTTAAAACAATAGATTGAAAATTCCATAACTCTAAACTTGAAGAAAAATAAACATACCTTGGGAAGAATTTTTATTAAAAAAGAAAATTTCCCCTGATAACAGCATCAAAAGTTTACTATAAAGTAGTACAACTTCGAAATCCCTGCCTAAATCAGAATGATACAAGATGGAGAACAACCTGCATGGAACTCCAGACAGATGTCATTGCTTGCCAACATACATTTTACATGAGCCACCTCATTAAAGGATGTTTGAGCGAGCTTCGATTCTTGCAGGGTTTATGACTGTTTTAACCCGAGGGAACAGTTCTTCAGGATAACGGTATGTAGACTTTACGCCATGCAAATTAGATTTTCGTTGAGGTCACCGTACACATGAAGCACAATAAGTGAAGAAAGATGCTAAAATAAACGACGTAATCTCTATTCTCAGCCTTGCGAAATAAAACGAAAAAGGAGATAAACTGCCCATCCTGTTGTCTGATACAGTTTCATCGTGAAATTAAACCGCGAAAAAATATAGATACTAACACTACGACAAATCTGGATTGTAAAACATCTGTACTCAGCAACCACTAGTGGTTTCATATTGCAAAAGAAACATGTGGAAGTACTTAAATCAAATATAAAAAAAAAAAACTGACGCTCATTACTCAACTTTCATTTACAACTCAACTTAAAGTAGAAACTAATTTATGCACAGTTAGGACTATATTTAAATCTATTATTAGCTATCAAGGTATTAAACTCAAGTTATTAGAATTTATAATTATATGTTTTTTCCACACGTAAATACCATTTGGAATATTTAGAGCAGCATGCAGTTCTTCACATCTTAATCACGGTGCAATATTAATAGAATCAAGCGATCAAAACCAGCCCATAAATTGATGAGGCTGTCAAAAGAATGAACTAATTCAAATGAACGCAAAAAACCGACGAATAAACCTTCGGGGAGTAGGTAGATTCGTTGGTGAGAATAAGAAAACGATGGATTGTCTGTTCTATATTTAAGTGGAGAAAATTATTTTTATATATTTTATTTGCTGACAGCTATTATGAAGTAATATAGTATAGCTTTCTCACTGTTTTCATTGGATAAATAATATCTGTATTTCAAGGTTTATAATTTTTCGTAATAATAAAATCTCCGGAAGAAGCCGTTTTTGGAAATACACCAATCTCTCAATATTTGCGGGTTTGTTATCCACAAATCTTGTCAGCAAATATTAAAATGAGGAAGCGTACCACATATTCAAATTTGTGATTTTGATGATTGGTGATTAAATTAAGCAATCACAGACATACTGAACATGCATATCGCAACTGTTAGTGAAAAAGATCGTATGTAAATATTTAGAGAAAAACTAATTATTTCTTGATGATTAATAAGTATTATTTCATATTTTATTACAGACTGCTTATATCACCAGATTACAAAATATCAGTTTATATGTAGCAGACTACAAAATATCACCATTAGCACAAATTGAACAAAAGCTGAAAAATTTTACATATGATATTTTGCTTTAACAGTATCTATATATACTTAATAGGTATATATCACTCGAAAAGCGGATTGAAATAAATATCCATAAGAAAAAATCAACTTTTTGTTTGTTTGGAGTTACCGAGATCAATAATTTTTTTTAGTCACAACAAAACAAAACTAAATGTTTAACTAATGAAAATTTGCGTGAAATTCACACAACATTGATATTTAAGGAAAAACTCGAGACAACGATAAGCTGGTTGAACTTCAATATAAATCAACACTATCACAAATAATGCTTTCTTTTACCAACTCAGTAAAAATTAATTTAAATTTACTGTAAATTACACGAAATTTAAGTAACGGCAATAAGTGTCATGCCAGTAATAATTGGAATCGACCAAACAATACAGTATAAATTAACTTTTTTAATAAAACCTAAAATTTTATAACCCCATAAACCTAACTCCCAATCCATATGATCAATGCCTTCCACATCTCACAACCTTTTATTGTTAACAATTATTTATATTAATTTTAATTATTAAATGCAATTGATAGTATTTCTTATACTATTCTCTAAATTTCCTCCAAGTCCGGGACAAATCGAACGCGTAATTTTTAAACTATGGGCGTGGCAAATAATACATTTCCGCAAATAATACATCTGAAAGTTGAGCTATTTTTTTTTTAAGTAGTGGATAGAATTTGATAAAATTCATACGTACTCGATTATCAATTCACCAACACCTAACTTCCCTCCATATTTGAGCCAAATCGAAGCTGTTTTAGAGATATAGACGTATCAAGAAAAAACACGTTTGCTCATATATAAGAGAAAGCCGTGGACAGAATTCTGTAAAATTGGCGCTACATTCAATTGTCACCAATATCTACCATTTTATCCGAATCGCCAACAACAAACAGTAAAATACAAATACAAACGGTAATAGGTGAGACACTACGTTGGTATCTCTAAGAACATAAGGAAACACTCGTTGTCGAAAAAAAAAAAAAAATCTACTAAAAACACATTATCACAAGGCATGCTAAAATAAGTTGAGAAATAACTTAATCTTTCACTTAAAAAAAAAAAACAGACTGGAAAAAAGTAGACTGTTACGTGAGATAAGTCCACATTGAGACATCCCCCGAGAACGTAACTCAGTCTTCCGATGATTCTACATGAATGTGAAATGAGATGAAAACTCATACCTGATCAATTTCAAACTTCTTCTCTTATAGCTTTCTCCAGAGGGAAGAGAAAACATTAAAGGATTAGAATATCTCAAAGGTTTACTGACGAGGCACGTCAATCAACTCGTTGGATTTTCATTAGCATTTATTATCGCTGGAATCTACCAAGGTATACAGAATAAATATACTCTCCTAATATCCGTCGTTCGTATAATTTTATTAAAAAAATTATAATCGTTCGTATAATTTTATTTTTATAAATATTAGAATAGTTATTTTTAAATTCAAAGTTACTGTTGTTATTTTAAAAGAAAACCATCCAGTCATCACAATTGCATATTATGAATATTTGGAAATAACTGACACACTGAAAATTAAAACTTCCTTGACAAAAGTTTTTATCATTAGATTCAAGCCTCTAAATTCTATTGAACAGCTGAAAGACGAACCATGAACGTTGCATCGAAGATTAAAGACATGAAACATAGAAGGAAGTTAGCCGACCGTTTTACGTATCACGGTTAATAAATAGTCTGGGCACAGTCATTTTCAAGGTTTTAATTGGTTCTGATGTTTGAGTACTAGAATAACTTCAGTGCTTGAAACATGCCCTGATGATGACCCACATGCTTGGGTTGAAACGTCGGCACCAACAAAAACCTTTGAAATGTCTGCGTCCTGACTATTTATCATTCATCACATGAAACAGCTCAATTAATGCCAAAAAATAGCCTAATAAAAGGTAACGTCCGAGAATTGTTATTTAAAAAATAAATGTATTAAATTTTTTTTTAATAAAATACAGCTATGTTAATTTTAATTCACAGTTTTTGATATGATATTAAGAAATGAAAATTCTATTAAATAGGTTGGTATTTAAGTTGGTAAAACGTAAACAAGACATGATTAAACAATTTCTTGACAGAAAATATATCAATTAATTTGATTTATATTTTATCTATGTACAAACACATGTTTATCTACGCAACTTACCACCTATACCTACATGTTAGCAACAGTTTGAAGATTTGAAGAAAAAAAATGCCGAAGAACTTTCTCGTTCCTTTCATATTAACTTGAAAAACATTATTTGCTGATTCGAATTCATAACGAACTTGACTCTTTTTTCATCAAAACCACAAAGGAGCATGAATCTATTTAAAAAACAAAACAGGGAGTCCGCTTTTTGACGTTCTTATGTTTTTAAGCTAATAAATCATCGGTATAGATGTTTTTGTAACGAGATCCACATTTTGGAACGAGATGATCAAAGGTCGATAAACCGAATAAATTTAAAAGACGAAGAACCTTCTAAGGTGATGGGTGGAGTTGGGCTGCCTGAGAATATGGAAAATCAAAGATAAAGAAAAATTAATTGAGCCATCCATCACCCAAAAGCCTTTAGTAACTCACTTTGTAATAAATCCTTTGTCGGTTTTTCAATTTGCCATTGGTCCAAAAAACAAAAAACAAAAGAGAACTCTTTTTTTCTCAAGATATATTTCTTCAAAGCTTGTGGTTCGTTGTCTCTTCCAATATTGAATAGCATTTTTTTCTGTTTATATTCACAAACATAACTTGTCTTGTTATATGTAAAAAAATTATGTTTATCTAAACATATATATATATATATATATATATATATATATATATATATATATATATATATATATATATATATATATATATTTCATTATTGTATATTTTTAAATAAAAGAAAAGTTGTGCCTGGATTTACATTGATCGTCCTCGCGATGCTTAATGAAAACATAAAAGCATGGAAGTTTGATACATATAGAAATAAAAACTCATTTTTATTCTTATTGGGTCCCTTTCTTACTGGCCTCCAAGATTTTTCTATAAATGACTTTAATTGTGAAATGAGCTTTCTAAGAGAAACAACTTGTATAGCGTAATAAATGTTGTAGTATTTATTACGTTATACTGAATTTTATATATTTTTTTTTAAATAGTTTTTAAAATTGTCTATGTAATCAAAGAAATTTTCACGGACCGTAGTTAGGAGACTTCTGTTCATATATGTCCGATGATCTATAATAAAAAATGTCTATCTGCAAGAAAATAAGTTTTATATATTTTTCATTAAAATCTATCTAGATTGCGTTTATCTTCATAAACAGTGGGGTTTTTGCATATAGCTATTTTTCGTTGAATGTCTCGATATTCTTCTTCCACTGATAATCCTACAGTCATTGGTCTCTTGACCCGTCTCTTGATCCGAACTTTGAACCGTTAAAGATAACTTCATCTAATTTAAGATAGCCAAACCCAATTACGACTTCATTAACATGAATTATATTCATTGGGTGAACAACACTCTTTTTGTTGTTGAAAAGCTAAATTCTTCTGTCTCCTCTCATCACACTTCGAGTTTCATGATTTACGCAACTCTTTCTGAAAAACCTTAGCTACTTCCCCCTACCTCAAACGATATATACGATATCCTTCAAAAATATAGGAAATCTTCCTTATTTTCAAGTTCCTTATGAACAGCATCTGATTAATCTTTTGCCGTAGAAATTACTTGTTCCCATATTCAAACTGTGCTTTAATTTAAAAATTCCTATTATATTAATATAATTAGAAAGTAACGCTAAATAAAATATTATTATGATTATAATACATACATTTATTATATTTAAACAATTCATCGAAGATGCTTTACGATCACCTAAAACGTGTAAGTGTAAATATAAAATGGGACAACTTGATCAATTTTTAATGGATGAGGGAATACCATGGACGGTCGAGACGAAACGGTAGGTTAAAAACATGAAAGGGATGAGAAAAATTTCAAACGGGCAATTGTACGAAGCAATCATCGTGTTTGGCGTTTCGAACCGACGACTCAAACGAGTAGCGGAAACGTCAACCGTCCTGTCGTTACTCTCCGTTCCACTTTGAAGGAGCACTAACAATCCTTAAAACGCCCTTCGGTCAGGTGTGACCCTCTCCTCTTTAAGGATGCTCTTGTCGGCTAGGATAGCCCAAATCCGAATAGATGGAAATAGGTGGTTGGTCATTCATTAATAACCGGTTAGTTCTGATACTAATCATACTTTGGTGAACAGCATATGATCAAAATGAATGGTTGATTTAGTTGACTATTTGCATGGTTCGAAGTTGTCATACCGTAAGATGGGGTAACTGGGTGGGTAACTATGGGACAGCGGTAAAATTTAGTTTGTGGTGATTCCGTGGTGGATACATTGTATTGGTTCAGTCTACAAATACGTGCTTGCGGTAGTTTGAGATTCCTAATTCTCTACACTCGTGAAGTTAGGTTTTATGTATTTCCATGGCTTTCTTTAAAATTCTTGTTTTCATGAAACTTTCGTTGTGCTTCAAGAGTAGTGTGCCGCAAGGTAGTAGCCCAGTACATGCCTCTTTACAAAGCACATGTTTGCAAATGAACCAACACTGTATATCCAACACGAAATCACCACAAGCTAAATGTTACCCGCTTTCTCAAAATTACCACATTTTACAGAAGTATTAATTTTAGAAAATTCTTACACTTCTACATTCTACATTCCTTGTAAATACAAAAGGCCTATTTCAAAATTAATATATTTTCACACTATTTTTAAAATATTTTAAGTTTTTTAAATATAAAAAATACACCAGCAGATTCACTGGGTGTTTTACATGTGAACCGATACTTGTCTCGATTTTCATTTTAAAAAAATCGATTAGAGTCTACTTTACAAATAATTGACTCAAATATAGGGACATACAAACTTCATTTTGGCTCACTAGTATTTTTATCAAGTTATTCTGTATATTTTCACACTGTATTAACCTTTTCCTCTCTTTCAGGTCACAGACACCAACGACAATCCACCAACCTTCTTGGAGAGTGTTTATAGCTTCGACGTCGGCGAGGACTGGGTTCGAGGCTCCCGTGTTGGTGCAGTGGAAGCGGCAGACCCTGATGAAGGTGAAAACGGACTATTGTCTTACTCCGTCATTTCCGACTGGGCTAACGACGTATTCTCGCTGAACCCTCAGACAGGCGTCTTTACACTCACTACCAGGCTTGACTATGAAGAGGTAAGTTCTTTTTATTTTGGGGTCAGACCAGCATTATGTCTTATGTCTAAAAACAACACTAAATATCTTACGACAACCTGATGTATAGGGGTTTCTGCAGTTCATTTAAATTTCAAATGCAATGAATACTATTTTTCTTTTTAATTGTGCATCATCTGATAAAACTAGATCATTCTGTCAGATACAATTACAATGTTTGAGGTACCGGTTCCTCAAAAACACTGGAGTTTAAAATTTCTTGAAGGAAAGGGAAGAGGATGCACACGGAGTTATGAATTTTTTTAAAGGAAACATATTTTTAACGGCTAGTTTTCACTACGCTATCTGACCTATCCCTATTCTATGTAAAAAAAGGATATAACATATACAGTTTTTTTTTATTTATTGTATAAGCGAGCAGAACAACATAATTTCTTGCAAGGCGGAAGATAACCAATGTTTGAGGAGCTTTATTTTGGTATATATTCCATTCTGGAACAGTTAAATTATCAATAAATTAATACAATAGCATCTGGGTATATAATTTTAAACCACTGGGATTAAAACTTGTAAGCTGCAAGACTTTCAGGCTCTTTAAAAAAACCATAATTTATTTATTTATGGTTTCCTTCGTTATTGCTTGATCCAAGAATCTCTGTTTTTGACCATCCGTATTCTCCTTCGCATGCCAGTCCTCTTCTGCCAAAGTTATCCCGGATTGCGCCTTCTCGTGTCTTCCTTTTGGCCTCTGCCATCCCACCTTTGTTTCATATTCAACTTTCGCCAATCTGTCCTCATTAACATTAACAACCTGGCCAAAACATCTCAGCTGGTGTTCCTTGATGGTATCCTCAGCTGGCCTAAGTTCGAGGTTTGACCTCATTGATTACCCCCTATTTTTCATAAGTACCTCATCTCCGTAGATTTAACTTGGCACTTGTGTTTTGTGGCGAGAGTCCAAGATTCATTTGAGAAGGTGAGAATCGGTAAGGAAGTTTTTTTTGTAAATTACTTTCTTTATTGTTCATTGGTACTTTTTCCCGATAAAATTTTCCTTAAGAGTATTGAAACACCTGCTGGCAGCTTTTATCCTTTCATTTATTTCACCATCTATTCATCCATGTTTGTTCAGGTAAGCACCAAAATACTTCAAAATCCCTACTTACTCTAATCTTGTATGGTTTAGTCTTACCACTTCATCCCTTAAAATATATTGTAACTAATAATTATTCAGATCCAGGTGATTTGTTTCGATTTACAACTAAAATTATGCTTGAAAAGAATTTTTTATCGCAATACCGACTTGATAATATCAATAGTAATTACGTTTTTAACTATTGTACAAAAATAAAAATCACATGTTTAATATTGATAATAAAACTAATATTGATTACAATATAACCTTGAAAAATACATTAAGGTCAAAGAACAAATAACGAAAGAATGAGTCATTAAAGTGAAACAATTTAATTATCTATGCAACATCCTTTGAGATGTTTTTACAACCATTATTGTTTTATCTATAAAATACCAACAGAAAATAAACTGATTATAGGCATGGTTGGTCAACAGTTATTTATAAAGCCAGAACGCTTTTAAATATTTTTACAAAGTTGGGCCCTTAAAATTTTGATCAAACTCTTGTTAGATATGAGAACAATATACATTTATACTATTATATAACAAGATTCTCCGTTTTTCGTTTCTAATGGCCGCGAAAACTCCCAATCCTACAAGCGTTACAAGCGTTTTTTTTTACGAAATAGTCTATCTTTTACCGTGAAGATCATCATTGAAATCATCAACCTGACCAACAGAAAATAAATCATATTTTTTTATATAATTAGAAAATGTTTAAGTGAATTTATAATAATGATAAAACCCAATTTTATATCGTTCTTATTATATTTTTATTGTTGGCATTTCATTTGGGAACTGTTGAAAATTCCACCAAAACAACAAAATATTGATCATTGCATAATCGCATTGAAGAGAGAAAATTATGAAAAGGATAAATTGACAAATACGTAAACAATTTTGTTTGCAACCAATCAGTGGAAACTAGCGTACAAATTCGTTCCATTGTTTTACAAAATCATTTATGTGGTCGATATAATCGGGACAGTATCCTTTTTTTTTTTTTTTTTTTTTTTTTGTTCTTTCCTACCTCGCCTTTTAGGCTATACGGGATTTTCCCGGGCCGAGGGGTGAGGGCGGGGAATTTAAAATCCCCTCCGGCACCGGGACGCAAACTCGTACTTTTTAAATCATCTCAAATCTCTGTTATCCGGTTGCCAGGCAACTAGCGGTGCTGTGAACACGCTTTAGCCCATTCGGCCACCCCGCCCCCTATCGGGACAGTATCCATAAATGTTAACCCATCTAAGAAACCATAATTACTGTAGCACAGCAGAGAGAAACTTTTAAGCTTATTGGAGTCGGATGATTTTCCCGACGTTCAACAATCTTATGTCGCTTTTCATAGAACTGTTTGCCATTGAGATAATTAACAAAAAATATAATGTACGCTGAAGTTTTTGAATTTTCTGTATGTATTTTCAAACAAACAGTGTTTGTAAAAAACTTATCTTAATATACAGGGATTAGACTATATGTGTACTTGTTCTTGTATTCATTATTTGCTTATGAGAGTTTCATAAAACGGTTAAGCCAGATGAAAGGCACATTTTCAGAAAGTACGATAGTCGTAAATAGTGGAGTTATAGCCGTTACTTCAAAAATAAAAGATTCAGTGGCGCATTTTTATTTGTAAAAAATGAAATATTTTTAATTTATTAATAAAGAAAAATATTAATCTCCACTTCTTAACCCTTTAAAACTGCACAAAAGAAGCCATATAATCTGGTAGATGCATGAAAGTTATTAAATCAAAGATACATTTATTCCGATTTTTTAAACTACATGAAAAAAAAGTATTAACTGTTCATGAAGACAAAATTTTGTATCCCGCATAGAGGTTCTCACATATACCTCTAAAAGAATAGATAACCAATAAGAAACGACACGTAAGTTATGTATCAAGGCTTTTCCGAAGCATGTGGTCTAATAAATTTTATCACATAATGCTCACATACATATACAACTTACATTGCCGAGCTTATATACCTGTGTACAAAAAATATTTATATATCTTCGACAATTTTACGAACAGTGAAGAAGATAGTCATTTGTATGCCTCTAAACTGCACTATCAATATTATGAAGTCTCCCATTTATGTGGCCAACATCCATCCTTCTTCGTGTGTGGCCCATTTCCTTTCAACGAGAAATAAAACGAAGCGAGCCTTCACACCCCTTCGGAAAGCATGTTAATCGCTTCTGTGATGAGATGTATGCTCTTTGGCCATAGCAACTCCTCACATGATCTGTAAACAGTGTAGTTCGTTTCAGGTGTTCAACATACCAGCTGGGCCTATATTAGAATGGCTTTTTATGAAAGGTGTGAAATATAAATAAACCAAGGTAATGAACATTTCTGCGGGTGAGATCCTAGCAGCATTTCCACCATATATGTATATATTTTTTTTAATCCCCCCGTTTCAGTCAAATTTTCCCTTTTCTTCTGCTCAGAACGAACTTAGAAATCTCTTCAGCCAAAATATATACAAAGAACACGAAACAAACGAAATATTAATGTAAAAAGGTAACAAAAATGCAGAAGTTCCTTTTAGAACTATTAAATTTGTTGGAAACTTTGCAGTCTTCCAATCTAAGATATAAAAAAAAAATGTGATCACATGTTAAACTATATAGGACAGAACCGAAGAAACCGTAACAGTCACAAACATTCACGATAAATGTTGGCGAAGTCATTAAAGGAGCTGTTTGTTTTATGGGCCTAAAACAAGATGGTCAACAACGTAGACGTAGAATTTCAATTTTAATTGGGGGGAGGAGGAAGAAGCGCTGGACCAGAATAAAAAAATATAAATATAAATAAAACGAATAGAAACCGCTCGACGTTTTCGATTACTGCAGCATTTACTATATAAACAATAAGCTTTCAATAAATTACAAACGACTCATATATATGACAATAATAAGACCTATTCGGACTTACGGAACCGAGCTTTGGGCGTCCACTGAATCGTCGAATTCCTCTCGTATCCAATCCTTACAATCCAAAATTCTTCGTAAAATCCTCAACGCTCCTTACTTTGTCACAAATAAAATCACCCATAAAGCCCTTAATGTCCTATATGTTTCCAATTTGGCCCAATCCAGATACCTATCCTTCCATAACAAACTGAAGAACCATCCGAACCCTCTCGTTTCAAACATTGCTTTCGCCTCGATCTCTGACAACCCGCCGAGGCGTCTGAAAAGAAGATGGTCTAGGGACGTTCTAATATAAAACTTTAATTTGAGTTCTACCAATGGGTAGTTTCTCTTCATGTTGTACATGCCATGTTACCAATTTCGCATTTACTTGTTGTATTTTTCGTGTAATACAGTTGTAAATTTCATTAAAATAACAAATAAAATAAAATAAAAAAAAACTTTTACAAAATGAAGAAAGAAAAGAAAAGAGAAAAAAAATTATAAAAAGGAACAATAAATGAATAGAAACAAGATAAGAAGATGTTTGATTCATGGGGTTAATTTTCAATTTAAAAAATATCAAATGCCTGCATTTATAGTATTCCTATTGTCTCGTGACACCATTGATGTATTATATGGAATCACTAGCTCGTTCAAAAAAGTACGATAATAAAGGCTCTGTTTCAATATATATATATATATATATATATATATTATATATATATATATATATATATATATATATATATATATATATATATTGTGGTAAGCCGATTATTACATTTATATTTCGAATTAAAGGAGCTGCATGAAGGACCTTTTTTAAAAAATAAAATTCTGTTGAAAGTTAGGATGCACTACTAAATAATCACTCTTTTTTGTTATTATATATTATAAATTGTTCTGACTATATTATTTATTATTTATTTATTCCAACTCCACATAGTGGGATGAGTAAGAGAAAACCCGCGACATCGGCTAAATCTATTATTATTATTTTAAATTGAAGTACTTAATAAAAACCGTGAAAAATGTATATTCTGCAAACTAAAAATATTCTCACGAATTCCAGAAGGTATCAATAAAACAATTTATCTAGTTTTTGGAGTTCTAGAAAAAAAATCTGATATGTCCACTCACACGACTTTCCTACCTATTTCAGAAAAGATTTCATATCTTTACATATGATCATGATGAAAAAAAAAAAAAAAAAAAATTGAACTAGATTTATTTTTCTAAAAATCGATCAAAAAAAAGATTTGAGTACGATTTATTTGATAAACTATAGCAATGTAAACCGGCTTAAGGTAGATCAGTGTAAAAATTTCAATACTGTCTAATATTGCTGATCGAAAACCTTTTTGCCATAGCTTAGTATTGTCAAACAATAATTTATGTTAAAATTAGAGGAAGTAGTGAAGCTTTTGTGATGCGGGCAGCAGATTTTCTTACTTTCACTTAGTTTTTTCTCTCATTCACCCCTTTCTGACACCAGGATATGAACCCGTAATCTTACATTGGAAATTGAATAGCTGTAACTTCGTTATTAGTTGTCTAAAATGAACAATTTTTATAAAGTTTTGTAGGGAATTTCATTACCTTTCCAAAAATAGGCTCAGATCCGTAGATAGATCCGTCGAAAACCGCATATCGAAAATTTGACCCGATTGCAATACTTTCCTTACCTAGTGTAGGTAGGAAAGTAAAAAAAATAATAGATTTAGCCAATTTCGCGAGTTTTCCCTTACTTGCCCAACTGTGTGCCAATCGTTTATGTTGATTTAAATGAGAGGTCTAAGGGAGAATGGGAACTTGCAGACAGTAGCCCCTTTTCCCAAAACAGAATTTATTTATTTTTTTATTCAAAATTAAATCCTGGACCCGCTGCTGGTTTATTTTCCTTGCAGCAGTTGATTCCTCGAACTAAGTCCAAAAGGTTGCTTCTCAAATGTGGGCTCACAACATGGGAATCAATTTGCCTATACAACCCAAAACTCGGCCATCTAAACGAGTTAGATGTGACTGGACGGGGTGAGCGCACCCTTGCGTTACCCACGACGTCTTATTTATTATTTGTGTTAGAGAGGAGATCACGCTTGGAAGGGACAGTTGCTGGAGTGGAGCAATTGGGTTTCCATTATTCTTGCTAGTTAACTCCTTATTAATGGCACGTTGAGGTTGATCGGGATCGTTAAGGCCAGCTAACGAATGTCTTCTTCGGCTCGCTTCGAGTGGGCTGGCCCGTTACGACAGTTCACCTCCGGCCCGACAATCACAATCCCACAATTTACCAAGCATTAGAGAAAAGGAAGGGGGACCCAGAATTTTCCAATCAAAAAGAAATAACTTTTATAATTTTTAAAAGAAATAACACAAACATAATAAGTTAATATTTCATCATTGGTTCTTTATCCTTACTGCTTTTTATAGGAGACTTGGAATGTTAAATGATATTTCTTTGATTTCCTCACCGTTTATGCCCATTGACTTGGTCAGTATTTTATTGCGGCGATAATAATTTTATTTCAGGAAAATTTTTTCCAATGGCATTCTTTATGCTTCCTGAATTATTATGTTTTACTACGATTTTTATGCATTATTAAACCATAGCCATTATCTTATCACAATTTAGACGCGGTCAAATGATAAATTACTTTATCTTTTTTTTTTATTATAATATTCATGTTTCTACAAGATTAAAATAACTCTTAAATTATTAAGTACTACGTATATCTTCTGGTTCAATTCTTCTGTTTTTCAATCTCATAAGGTACAACTAAAGACGGAGGATGGTCCTCCATAATATGGGTAAATGCACGGGCGGATCTACTGGTGGGAGGAGGCTTTGGGGCTGAAGCCCCCACAAAATGGTAAAATATAACTATATTTTATTGAAAAAAATATTAAAAAATTACCTCTTAAAGTATTATTGTTCGTGTAAATACTTTAGGAATCACTTAAACACCATTTCATATAGGTAGTTAGTTTCTTTCTTTTTTTTCAAATTAATTATCGTTAATTTTATGAAAAAAAAAGCTTTCGGGCTGAAACCCCAAAAATTAAATCCTGGATCAGCTAGTAGTAAAATGGTATTAATTGTCATATTGCTTATGGTAATGACCTTTTCCGACTACAACCCTCATAGGGTATTCGTTTAGTGGTACAATTTGGTTAATCAACTGTCAATGTTAACGATTAATTTTGCCAGGATCACTATCAACTGCGAAAATGTTTACATGTGCAACATTAAATCACATGTCTCTTATCACTTCAATCGATTTTAATACTTGGTCGAAGGTCCACCCCGATATTGTTACTGTAGAAAGAAATTAAAGTTAGAATTAAACGCATAATCACACTGATAATGACACAACAGAAAAATTGTAGAGTATATTGTTTGTTTTGAAAAATGTTTCCTAAACACCAGAAGCGCTGGTGCAATTTGGTAAAATAATTCCAACATGCTGTATTCGGTCTTACGATGTAACGAGATTCTTTTTCGTCAATATCCAAGATACTTATCGAAAAACTTATTATATAAAATGGCCTATGTTCGTGGTCAATTCAACATGTGGCGTCCGTGAGCTAGCTGCAGCACCCGTTAGTGTTATACACGGCCTTCATTAATGTAGGGCTATAATTAATTAATATTTAATTATTTAGGGTAATATAATATTTAATTATAGAACTGAATTATAGAATAGATAATATTTAATTATAGAACATTTGAAAATTAATAGAATTAATTTGAATATGTGTTGTGTCTATGGGTATGTATTCATTTATTAAAAATAGCAATAGTAAAATGTGAAAAAATATTGCAGCCTCTTATCGCTTCCCAATCTTAATGATTTTTCCACATTCCTCGCCTTTTAGGCTATACGGGGATTTACCTGGACCAGGGGAGAGGACGGGTGATTAATGAGACGCGAAATCGTATTTAGTTTATATCTTGTAATCTTCGGTTTGTCATCTGGTTGTTCGGCTACCAATGATTAAAAGAATCTGCCCCAGTCGTCCGTTCCTATATTTTCTTGATCTTGGATCTAACAAACAGAATTTAATTGCTGTCATCTAATACCAAACAAGAAATATTTTTAGTGAGGTTTCAGATCCATATCCTTTACTGCAGCCAAATCAACTGACAAGTAAATAGAGAACGTAGATAAAAAAAAGAGAGGATAAAGAAAAAAAAAAAGAATTTGGAATTGGCTAGACTATAAGGAGCGGGAATTGGAAATGGGTAAAAAGGAGAAAGAGAGAGATAGAAGTGGTGGTATAATCGGGACTGTACTGCTCGCTATTTATGAGGACGGCCTGCATTAAAAAACGGGACGCGGTTCCAACTAGAGCCGGGCGTGAGCAGGCTGCGGGAACAGCCGCGACCGGTTTGGTTCTCGGTCGGGGAGGGTAAGTAGGAAAGTTCTCTCTACGGGGTAAGTCCTTCAGGGTAAGCCCAAGTCCTCCTCCATGGCTCGATGCAAATACGGAACATTCTAACGATTCTTTTTCTTCTTTTCGGTCCTTCGGGACTAGCCAATGGATGGCGGCTATTAGCCTGACAAATTGCTCAACTAATGCCGCGCTGCCCGAGGAGAAAAAGAATGCGAATCGGCTGGTCCAATCTCTACCATCCCCAAAAAGTTGGGAAAATTTTGCTTATAAATTTGAGCTAGCACTCGGTATTACATTAATTTAAAATTACAATATAATGACCATTTTAAAATAATTATAATTCAATCAAAATACTGAAATCGTGCTTTGAAATTCTTTTATAAGAAACGAGTAGAAAGGTTGGTCTGAAATTCTATGTCTCTGTTAAAAAAATCTGATATGTTGTGGCATCTAAACTAGAGCAAAAATATGTAAAAATTTGGTATGTTTATTCTCTTTGCACTAAAGGTGACATTTTGTAGTTTGCTAGATGGGAAAAACGCAGAAGAAAATAAAATATGAAATTATACTAATAAATCATTAAGAAATAATAGTTTTTATTAATTTTTTTTTTTTACAAACTGTAATAATTAACTTAAATTTACTGTAAATTATACGGAATTGAAATAACGGCTGTAAGTGTTATGCCAGTAATTTTTGGAATCGACCAAACAATACAGTATAAACAGTAGCGATATTTAGTTTTTGCAAATTATAATATTGCTATTTATGACAGTCTTCGAAGACCTAAAAATCTACTGAAATTTTAAAAGTTGGAGGATAGTGGTTTTGAGATCTTAAAGGCCTCTCGGACAACATAGAAAGTAACTTTTAGATATTTTTAATAAACCAGCTATGACTTCTAAACTCTCAGTAATAGATTTCTATATTCTTAGAAAATGAGAGAACACCAAACCGATGCTTTTCTGCATTAAACCAATAAGTGTTGAGGGAGTTCTATAATGGATGAAGTTCAGGAATAGCAGTAAGGTTATAAAACTCCGATGCACTCAAAAGTTGAAGGATTGAGTCAGTATACATTTACATAGTAACTGGTGAATGACCATCTCATGAATGACAAGTATAATTCAAAATTTATAAACAAGGAAATGCAAACCTTTTTTTTTTTAATATCTAACTTACAGCCAATTATACAGACTACTGACTAGAAAATCTCAACTTTCAATTGACAATAAATTACTGATCTACAAGACAATCCTGAAATCTATTTGGACCTACAGACTTGAACTTTGGGGGACAGCAAACATCAAATGCATCCAATCCTTTCAGTCCAAAGTCCTTCGAAGAATAGTCGATGCTTCGTTCTATGTAACAAACAAAACCCAACATCGCGACCTTAATTTCCCATTTGTCCTCGGCCTTATAGCTGAAAAATTTTGCAAATTTCACCAGAACCTTACAAATCATCCAAATCCCCTTGCACAATCCCTATCTAGTTCTATTCATCCCTACAATTTTTCTCGAAGGTTGAAGAGGCAGTGGCCCAAAGATCTTTTGTAGTATATATCTTGGAATTCTGACAATGGCTAGATTCTCCAATCAAGACATGATTGTATGTGGCTAAAGCGCTCTGGCTCATACTCCACTGGCTTTAGCACCAGCGACGCAGTTGAGAGAGTAGCGTAGGGATCTGTTAGATTCCTGCTTTTCCTTTTATAGTTAGAGGGAGAAGCCTGGCTTGGGGTACCCTGCCTGATTGTATATAGGTATAGTCATACCTAGTCGTGTTTTTATGTTTTTAATTTACTTATCTTTAGGTCATTTTATTTTTTATTTTATATTTTTTTTTATCATTATTTAGCTATTATTTTACTATTGTTTATTTTATATTTTCTGTATATATGGTGTGAATGTGTTCAGTTATCACTATAATTATTGCCCACGTGACAGATTATTATATTTCTAAATAACCAATAAAAAAAAAATATTTAACTTTTAATGGAAGGAAAGGAAACCTGTAGTTATAGCGACCTTATCCGATATTGTATATTGGAACAAGAATGTTTCCCTTACTCGAATGCATTATGCAATAGTCAGACTTCTCACTGGAGTATACTCGTTATAATTTTAATTTTGACTTAAAGTAGAAAAATATACTGAATAAAGATTGGTAACTGATAATGGACAAGAACATTAGTGGTTAAGTAAATAGGTGTCTTATTACTTAACTATTAAACTGGAGGGTTATTTTATAGTGAGAAAAGTTTAGCATTTATTACGAAAATTGTTGCTTTAACTTTCATGGAGAAGTACGAAACTTCAACAATTGTGTGTATCGAATGGACCTCTTGATAATATTATATTGTATGTAATAAAGAACACGTTTTGCTGATTTCGCAAACTCGAATGAATTATGCATTAGGCAGCCTTATCGCTGCGTAATAAATGAGAAAATTGTCCCACTGTAAAATAACCATCCAGTTTAATAGTTAAGTAATAAGACACTTATTTACTCAACTATTATTGTTCTTGTCCATTATCAGTTATCAATCTGTATTGAGAATTTTTTTTCGAGTAATTATTTAAAAGTGGTATTCCTTTGGTCATCTTGGTTGAATTCAGGTTATCCACAATGTTTCAGATAAGGCTTACAAAATCCATAACCAGGAAGCGCCACTATTGCGGAGGGGTTGTCTTGTCAGCTCTTGTCCCCTCCACCTTACGTTCATTACAAAGAATTACCAAATATAACCTT